TTAAAACATTTTATTTTACTTAAAACATGGACTAGATCTAAATGTGTTAAAAAAATTAGAATAAGCAGTTTTAATTTTTTTTATTTATTTCGAAACTGTTTTGATAATTGACATTTTGCATTTTGATTACTTAGCTGTAGCAGATATTATAGTGGTTTGTTTACCTTTAATTCAGTTCAGAATCATACCCAAATAGGCCGTATAGAAGTTAGACAACAGCAAGCCAAAGGTGCTCACAGGTAAAAGGAAATAAAAAGACGAAACCTATTTGCAGTTACGAGCACAATTATGTAGAAGGACGGGTGGAACAATGATTCCTTCGGACCGTCGGTTTCCAGTCTTCACAAATTACGGTGTGCGAATAAAGATAATGAGAATGAACGGAAAGGCAGAAAGACGAGGAAAGCATCTGTTTCGGAAACTTTTAACCGCGCCCGGAACCGGATTAAGCGGGGTCTTTTAACTTTTCGCTCAATGCCATGCCGTTCCCGATGAAACCGTAGAAGTGTTTTGCTTAGTGTGACCCGAGTTCAGATTTCAAATTACAATTTGGTAATTGGTAACAAACGGGTAACGACATGATAAATTGAAAGGAAAATGTTCAAATCACTAAATTTAAAACAGAATCGTGATTCTTTATGATGATGATATATATATATATATATATTTTTATGATCATGCTTATATGGGTGGACGAGCTCACAGCCCATCTGGTGTTAAGTGGTTACTGGAGCCCATAGAAATCTACGACGTAAATGCGCCACCCACCTTGAGATATAAGTTCTAAGGTCCCAAGTATAGTTACAGCGACTGCCCCACCCTTCAAACCGAAACGCATTACTGCTTCACGGCAGATATATACGTCATGGTTAGGAATGACAGACTCACCGCCTCCAAAGGCGGGACTGCCATTTACTATAGGCGGGCCCTGCACGTTGTCCCTCTCGATACTCCCTCGCTCTCACATATCGAGGCGTCAGTGTGCCGTATCTCGCTGACGGGACACCAGCCGATCGTCATCGCATCCGTTTATCTCCCCCCGGACAAGCCCCTTCTGANCCTGGAGCTCGACTCATTTAGTAAGTATCTACAGTCGGCATCGCTGCGCCATTTTGAGAAGGCGGCACGACATGAGAACCCTCTCATCGTAGCCGCTGGAAATTACATACCCGACCCAGTAGACCGAATGGTAAACCGTCGACGTCGCCCAAAGCACGTCATTACGGATCCTCCTGATCCATTAACGGTGCTTTTAGGCACCACAAGCACCAGTCACCGTACTCGTCGAACCCGTCGCTTGAGACGAAGGGCTCGACGAGCGAACTAACCCATAGACACAGCCCACTGAGTTTCTCGCCGGATCTTCTCAGTAGGTCGCGTTTCCGATCCGGTGGTAGATTCTGCGAAGCACTGCTCTTGCTAGAGTCAGTGTTAGCAACTCTCCGGTTGAGCCCCGCGAGCTCACCTACAAACGTTAGGGCGAAGCTGAAATAGCCTCTCAAGGCTATCAGCATAGGTAGGAAAAAAAAAGAAGGCAGATATAGAAATAGGTAGAAAAAGGTCCTACCACCAGTAAAAAGTTCTGATATTCTGCAACGTTTTCGTTGTTACTGTTCAAGGTAATACTATCAGTCGAACGAAATTTTAAATTGAAAACTGACGCGTATTACCAAACTATTAAATGGTATGCTCGTTACTATTATAGGACAATTTAATAAGCTGGTATGTTAAAAATTCTGACGCATGCGCTGAGCATAGCGAAGGCGCCGCTCAGTCGTCGCCAGTCATCTCGCGTCAATAAAGCCAATAGCAATCAAACCAGCAACCACATACTGTGAACATGACTGTATTTTCATAGGATAAAAATCGAAATATTTTCCTTCTACTGAAGACAAATGTGATTGCTTATTCGACATTGATAAGCTTACATACGTGTATTTCGCATTTATTATTTTGACCAAATCTTTGATCGTTCAATGGATCTGGTAGTAATTTAGTCCCGTCTAATAGACCGTGCACACCGCAATTTTTTTCTTGGCCTTTTATAAATCTTCAATGAATAGCGAATATAACAGTTTTCTATCGCGATATCTAAAGTACTATTGGACGAGTATGTAAATATCTCGGTATTAAATACAATAGACATGTCAATAATGCCAAACCCGTGGTAAGTCTGCATAAAAACGAATTGAAAATCATTTATTAAGTCAACGTGGTCAACGAATAAAATCGTGTAGTAAGTTTGCCCAGTAAAATTTATAATGTTATTTTATAGTATTTATATTATGTATCCGCACGAATGGAAACTTAAGCTGCCTATTGCCACTGCGAAGCGTCATGCATTCCGATTCAAGCGGTAGGACAGCCGTTGATTGAGCATTCGATCGATTCATGTCTCAGGGCGAATGACGTCATTCATATTTTGGTGTCTGTGCCCACCATTTAATGCGAGGTGGGCCGTGATGTAAAGCGATTTTTTTTCTGACGAATTAATATAAATATAACTTAGGTCTGTAATTTCTTGGCCGATCACCGTTCTCGCCGAACCCGTCGCTTGCCACGGAGGGCACGACGAGTAAATTAACCCATAGACACAGCCCAGTGAGTTTCTCGCCGGATCTTCTCAGTGGGTCGCGTTTCCGATCCGGTGGTAGATTCTGCGTAGCACTGCTCTTGCTAGGGCCAGTGTTAGCAACACTCCTGGTTTGAGCTCCGTGAGCTCACCTACACGTCAAGGAGAAACTGAAATAGCCTCTCAAGGCTATCAGAATAGGTAGAAAATAGAAAAATAAAAATCCTTGGTAAAGTTTCCAAATAATAAACTTTGTTATAAACAGCGCTAGGGTTAAAGTGTAATATGTATACATACATACATATGTACGGTTGAGACAAATCGCATACCCTTACTCGTCAACATACTACGCCATAAAACCTCCCCGAAGTGCCAACAACAACCACATAGTTTAACAACTCAGTCGTACAAACAAAACACAAACAAACGCAATCATGTATAACAACAAAGAAACTTAAAATCTACAAAACATTTTTTCAATGTAGATTCTAATAAATCGAACGATTTCTTTTCTCTTCTATACCAACGAAATTTCTTAATGAATTTTTGCCTTTCCGACGTTAAACTACAAAAGTTCATAAAAGTTTGACAATTGATTGTTTATTTTATATATAATAACTACCCTCTTTACTAAATTTGGATTATCGATTTTGTCTTCAATTGGAATTCTGTTAATAACAAAGACCATTCACTTCAGTAATCTTTTGCTGACAAGACTCCTTTGTTATGTAAAGAGGAATCTCTTTGTGTATACTTTACCACACACAGAATAATTTGCAATACCGTATTTTACGATAACTATGTGTGTACGGAGAGAGAATCTTTGTCGCTTAGTAATTAAACTTGGCAGTCTCATATTACTTAGTGGTAGACGCGAAAGGTCTTTGATCTGCGTCTCGTGTACACTTATTATTCAGAATCCTCGAACTTTATTAATATATTTAACTACCGTATTTTAGTTGGATACAATAGTAGCGATAGGTATATTTTCACTAGTATAAGTGTCGGGATTAATTAGTTCAAAGTTGCTTCTTTAAGCAACAACTTGAGACACATGTGTCACTTTTTGGTTCTGTACCTTTTGCTGGCTTGTAGAATACGTTGGTACCAGTATACTCTTGTTTAATTAGAGAATATTATAAATATGTTATAGATAATATTCTAAATATATTTTTCGTTCAACCGTATTTTTTGTATTTTAAAGCTAATGATCTTTGAATATTGGGACAATTTGTTTAAAGAATCTTAAGAGCGGATTCACCTAACTGGATATTCTGTAGAGACTCTGTGTATCAAATATTTATTGCCCTTCATTAAATATTTAGTCAAGAAGCAACTTTTGAAAATTGAAAGTCGAAATTCTATGAATTGTTTATCAACGTACACTGAAAACGTATTATGTTCAATAAAGATAGCAGGAGGCGCGTCAACAGTAATTTATAACTGAGAGTTAAATTGATTTGACCTTGATTACTTATGAATATAATGTTTTGTCAACAATCTCAATAATACGACGACAACAAAACAAAACAAAATTTATATGTAAATAAGACAGGTAAAATACTTCGGAGCCTTCTTCCCTTCTGTTGTGAATATAATAATATACCAAATCTGAACCTTGAGGTGGCAATAACTATGGTCGACTTTCGAAAAAAAAAAAAAAAAGGTAGGCAGCAGCTTGGCTCTGCCCCTAGCATTGCTGACGTCCATGAGCGACGGTGACCACTTATCATCAGGTGGGCCGTATGCTCGTCTGCCTACAAAGGCAATAAAAAAAAATCAAAGAATACTGGTCAGTATAAGCTCATAAGGACTGCCGCCAGTCCAATGTTTGTATATATGTACCTAATCAAAAGAATTCGTGTGTGTGTGTGTATTCTCACGGTTAGCTGTGAACAATATGGCGCGCGAATAGTATATCAAGAAATAACTGTATGTATTTGATATAACATTTTGCGTTAGTCATATTGTTGCGTAGATGATCCTGTACTGACTTAACAAATAAAAAATAAAAACCACGCTTTGGTAAACGTAACGTACCCCGGTTAGATGGAGCGATGACTTAAGAAGATTGACTGCCAATAAATGGATGAAGAGAGACGAACACCGGGCTCAATTATGTAAATTGGGAGATACTTATGTCCAGCAGCGGACGATTATAGACCAATGATGATCATGATAAAAACTAGCTTTGTTTATCTGAGTTTCATGCGTTTGCTCATCGTTTATTCTCTTAAATTGTATAATTAGTTATTGCGATTGCTGCTAGCACTTCTCATATAATTTCTGACACAGTATACTCAACGATGACGAGTGATGAGAATTTGCAACAAATGTATCTGCAAATGTATCATGTTTCTTGATAGTAACAGCGAATTGGGATCGTGTACTGTAAACAAGACATATTAGAGATCCTCAAATACGGGAGTTAAAATGAGAACACCTACATACCTTTACATTCCTCTATGCTTTCATCAGAGTTATCGCCGCAGTCGTCGTCTCCCTCGCACACCCAAGTCATCGGTATGCATTTCCCGTTCGCGCACTGGAATTGCTTCATTGGACATGCGCCATCTGAAGCAAACATTGCAATCATTACAATATGAGGAAATTAAACACTTTAATGAATGAATTTATCGCATTGACAGTTTTAAGCGTTGATCAGTAAAATTGATTCAATTTTGTTTATATAAATAAGCAAGCGCTTATGTATGTAGCATAAATAAATATGAGTGGTTGGTATGATGGCCAGCCCGCATAAAGGGAATTTTTCCGAGGCCCGACCAGTGCCACCCAGTGACCCCCACAGGGGTCAAGACGACCAGACGAGATGCCGGGTACCAATTTTTCTAATGAAATACGTACTTAACAAATGTTCATGATTGATTGCCACGGTGAAAGAATAGCACCGTGTAATAAAAATCGAACCCGCAAAATTATAATTTGCGTAATTACTGGTGGTAGGACCTCTTGTGAGTCCACACGGGTCCACACCACCCTGCCTATTTTGGGCGTGAAGCAGTAATGCGTTTCGGTTTGTATGTAGGGTGGGGCAGCCGTTGTAACTATACTGAGACCTTAGAACTAATATCTCAATGTGGGTGGCCGCATTTACGTTGTAGATGTCTATGGGCTCCAGTAACCACTTAACATCACGTGGCCTGTGAGCTGGTACACCCATCAATACAATAATAAATAGCATTATCGTTTGCACTTTACCCAAATCAATTGTCAAGATGAAAATAAAAAAAGGCAAAATTAAGACATTAATCTTTCTATTCAGAAGCCTAAAAGCAGGACACGCCCAATGTACATACTGATAATAAAAAACATAATAGAAGGAAATAGGCTATCAAAACTTCGCTTATAACTCAAACGAGGCTGTAACGCCGAGAACGCGATCGGACATACATTTCCATGATCCTAAGCAGTCTTTGTAAGTCCATTATGTAATGGACAGAAAGGAATTGGACTGGTCGATACAATAGCCAGAGCTGCTCTGTTCGTCCTTGATTTATGCTGCAATATTTTCGAGAAGACCGTCCCAATTGTATGCTACGGGCTATCGGATGTCGCCGTAAATAAAATTTATGTCAATGATTTTAATCGTTGTTTTTCGATTTAAAAACAATTTCTAAAAAGAACTTGAGTAATAATATGTTTACCTACCAATGAAGCTATGAAGAACCTATGAAGGTGCCGTTTTACAATACTGGCCATTTGAAATGTAATTTATAAGAAATAAAAAATTTAATCCTATTTTCCAATTAAATTATTGGTTTATTAATTAGTGTTGTATTCACTTTATTTTACCATTTTTAATGAACACGATAAATAAACTAGTAATTATGAAATATGAAATACGTTCCTTCCTGTTAGCAATGCGCATTAAAGTGTGCCTTGTATCGCTCAACAGACACAGCAGCGAAAGGATTCTGAACCGCACTGTCACTTGCGATGAATAATTGATTCTTTTTGATAATCGTAAGCGGTAATCATGTTGGTTTGACCCTAGAACAGCACCTAGGCAATGCGCCAAACGAAAACTAACCTTGTACGGGTTTGTCCACACAACCCTCTGCTGTGATAATGATAACAACTCCAATACTGATTCATTGTTTATTGATACGAGTATGATTACACTGATTATGATTATTTATATGATAAAAATGACGAGTATGCGACGCCTTGCTGATGGCGGTACACAAACTGACTCGAAAATGAATGACTTTGGATGTAAAATGCATCGGTATGCAATATGATGTGCGCGCTGGCCCGTACAAACCTTAAAGAAGTCATGGTCACTGATTGGTGGTCTAACGGTGGTATAATTCACCACAGATTCCTACCAGTTTTCAGCACCATTACTGTCTAAGTGTACTATGAGGAACTGGCCGCAACGTTGCGAGACGGTCGTGAATCTCCGACCAGTCCTAGTTAATCGCTCATCCCGGCTGCTTCAGCACAACAGACGGTCTCTAAGCTGCAGGAGCTTGGGATGAAATTTTTGTGCCATTCACCGTAGATACTGACCAGCACTTGCACTGACAGACTTTAACTTTTTCCTATGTTGAAACTTAGATCTTATGTGTTAGTAGGATTGATGCGGCATTTTGTAATATCTAAGAGTATAGGCATTCTGAATTCATATAATGAGTTCGTTGTTATATTTAAACGCATTAAAAACGTTATCACATTGCTATATAACGTCTACTAGTTAATCAAGTTTGACTCGGAATTTCCTAGAAAAGCTATACACACTTAAGTGGTTCTAAAAGAAAAACAAAAAAAGTATGTGTAGGTATGTGTGTTTCTAATTGGTTTTTGGTAATACTTTATTAATTTTCGCGAGCAAGTTACATGTTTTGTAAAGCATTAGAAAATAAACACCTGAGACACAACAATTACTTTTGAATACGATTAAAAGTTGTTTCATGTTTATTTTGGCTTTCAATAACATTGCCCTTTAGATACATGTTTGCTTTTATAAATTATTCAGGTGAAACCATAACATTGACTTATTTTTTGGGTGAGGAGGAAATCACCAAACTTCCTATTGCTCACATGTTGTGGGCGATAAGCGGGGCATGACGCGGTTAATCCGACTAAAGCCCCATATTATTATAATTTAAATAGTTTTACTCGGAGCACATTTCTCATTGCCAACTTACACTCACAGGACGCCGCAGCGTTGGGCCCAAAGACCACCAGGTATCTGTCGGCTATAGCTGACGTATACGGAGCAGTTTACTCGTACTCGAGTTAGTACTTTTTTTTTCCTATCCATGCTGATAGCCTTGAGAGCCTATTTCAGCTTCTCCTTGACGTGTAGGTCAGCTTACGGGGCTCAAACCGAGAGTATTGCTAACACTAGCTCTAGGAAGAGCAGTGCTTCGCAGAATCTACCACCGGATCGGAAACGCGACCCACTGAGAAGATCCGGCGAGAAACTCCGTAGGCAAAAGAAGATCTTCCACCGAGCGGTTGATATAGGTCGGTAGACCGACGGACCGTACTTAGTAGCAATAGGTACCGTTCTAGTTCTGACCCGTCAGAGCCCATCTACACCATTCAGCGTTACCATAAGCAATTCACAATACAGGCTATCTTTTGCTGTGCATATAAGTCATAGGCTGCTTTTTTTTAGAAAAAAAAAATTGTTTTGTTTTATTACCTTTACATATTTTGCTTACATTGTGTGCAACATCCGCTTGTGTTAACATTTACTATAATGATAGTATTATATTCCAAAAACAAGGAAATTCGTTTTATAGCACCTACAAATATACACTAAGAGTATGGTTTGGAATTTTCATGCAAGATCGATTTAGAAATGAGGAGATTGACGAGAATTAGCAATCGAAAAATACCTTGATTATAGAACGGGGGGATGGTCCAAAAAGTACTCAGGATAACCATAGGCCCTCAAAAAGGTGACCGACGAACGGGACTAATGAAGACTATAGGTTTTTCCTGTTTATAGCGCGAACTAATCGTGTGAATAAATGTCAAGGGAATATGTAGGGGGGAAAAGTGGATTAATTAGATTAGATTTCAATAAATAAAGGCTTTACAACAGGATAAGACCTCCGGTGCATTCGTATCTTGCGATGCACCGGTGTTCGACTCCCGCAGGCGGGTACCAATTTTTCTAATGAAATACGCACTTAACAAATGTTCACGATTGACTTCCACGGTGAAGGAATAACACGGCGTCATAAAAATCAAACCCGCAAAATTATAATTTGCGTAATTACTCTTGTGAGTTCGCACGGGTAGGTACCACCGCCCTGCCTATTTCTGCCGTGAAGCAGTAATGCGTTTCGGATTGAAGGGTAGGCAGCCGTTGTAACTATACTGAGACCTTAAAACTTATATCTCAAGGTGGGTGGCGCATTTACGTTGTAGAGATCAATGGGCTCCAGTAAACACTTAACACCAGGTGGGCTGTAAGCTCGTCCACCTATCTAAGCAATAAATAAAAAATATAAAAAATATATAAAAAAGCCTGTTAAACCTGTCTGATCATTCATGCTTAACTGTACCAAGAAGAAAAACTATCAAAGCAGCACTAATCTTATATTTGCTGATTGTTCTAAAAACTTTGCCCGACACCTAATTAGCGTTTATAACTCATATTGAAAGCAAACCATTCAAACAGTACATTGTACCAACATTACACAACCGCAGCTATCTCTCAGAACTGCATCGTGTGGAATTAGTCTCGTAATCTTAATGAACGTAACAAACTTTGGTCTCTCTTGGAACATAACTGGACCGAAACACGGTTTCGTAGCGTAGAAATTAAAACATAATTTCATTTAAGCGCACAGTGTTTCGAACCCATTATCACTTCTTAAACTATTATGTAGCCTTGTATATTCAATAGTCTCTTTTTATTTAATTATTGTGAGGCATACAAAAAAATCTCATGTATTTGTGTATGCTCCTCGAGCGGCGCTGCCAAAACCACACCTTGAGTTAACTTCTTTGTCAACAGGTAACTGGTGATGCCCACTAAGACGTACTTTTTGTTAATGTTAGTAAAATAAAAATCATTGTGCCAGTCACTTAATACGAAACGTTCATTCCCGATCCTGCGGAAAGAATGGAAAGCAGTCGACGTCGCCCAAAACACGTCATCTCGGATCCTCCCGATCCACTGACGGTGCTTCTAGGTACTTCAAGCACCGGTCACCGTTCTCGTCGAACCCGTCGCTTGCCACGAAGGGCTCGACGAGTAAATTAACTCTCAGACACAGCCCACTGAGTTTCTCGCCGGATCTTCTCAGTGGGTCGCGATTCCGATCCGGTGGTAGATTCTGCGAAGCACGGCTCTTGCTAGGGTTCGTGTTAGCAACGTCGTCAGGTTTGAGCCCCGTGAGCTCACCTACTAGTTAAAGTTACGCTGGAATAGCCTCTCAAGGCTACAAGTTTAAGTAGAAAAAAAAAAAAACCTTAAACACCGTTTTTGGACATAAACAATGGCAGACTGACAATTCACCACTGTTTCTAGGGAATAATCTTATTTTTTAGAAAGACTAACGCTGGCTTAATGTGTAAAAAATAATTCA